ACCGACTGCGGAATACTCATTCACATCCCATCAACAATTTAGTAGTTAAGTTTCGCTCTAATACTGTAGAATATACAGGTTTTTCCGATTTGCCACGCCGGGCGTAGACACCTCATTTTTGGTCAGTTTTTAGCAAGAGATAACGGTACCCTGACTGCAAAGTTTGAATGCTTACCCTCAAAAAATCTGAAAATTACAGGGTATTTTTCGATATGCCACGCCCCTAAAGAGGCGTAAAAATTATTTTTGGAGAATCGATAGAGGAGGCTACCAGTAACTCAACTATCCAACTAGCTATTATACTTTAGGAGATATAAACTTTTGCGGTTTGCCACGCCCCCTGTGGGCGGACATATATCCGACAAAACTTTTTGGTCTTGGGTGATCAGTCCGAGTATATATACAAAATTTGAGGTCTCTGCCATCAATAGTGTCCAAAATATAGGAGAATTTAAAAAAACACTATATCTTCAGGTCCGATTTGCCACGCCCCCAATGGGCGTAGACTTATAATTTATCTTCAGACTTTATAGAATCATACCATTAGCTGTGCAAAATTTCAGCATTCTAGGTTAACAACTTTAGGAGATACAGTTTTATCCGATTTGCCACGCCCCCAATGGGCGTAGATATATCCGCCATAACTCGTGATCTTGGGTGGTCAACGCGGACCTACATACAAAATTTCAGCTTTCTAGCTCTTCAACAAACATGATTTCTGATATATCGGAAAATGCATTTTCCGATTTGCCACGCCCCTAGTGGATCGGGAAAATTTTAACACTTTATAAATCGGAGATATACACGAGTATGTGTTCCAAATTTCAAGTCTCTAGCTTCTATAGCGCCGAAATAGATTGCGTTCATACGGACAGACGGACAGACGGACAGACGGACAGACGGACGGACGGACAGACGGACAGACGGACAGACGAACGGACAGCAAGACGGACATTGCACAAAACCAATATACTGATTCACTTTCGTGAATGAGTATAATAATTACTATAGTAAATATATAAATATATTCATACATATACATAAATATAGTATCCATATAAAAATGCATTCATGCACAATTCATAAACAAAATAATCAGAATGAAATGAAATTTACTGTAAAACCGAATTTAATGAAATAAATTATAAAAATATATAAATATTCACGATAAAAAAATAAATAAAAAACAAATCAGACAAAGCGAAATTTGAGCGGACAAATTGCTCCAAAAAGTATGCAATAAAATAATTACAAAATCGCAATGCAATTTGCCAGAGATAAAAAATATAATAAATATTTAAATTCCAGCAAATGTAATGGTTTATTAAATATTTAAGGCAGCTAAAATAAATTTATATGAAATATTAAAGTCAATTTGCAAATTTGCCTAATAAATTTATGAATTTAATTGCAAATTTTAACAGCTTTAACATTTTCTTTTGCCTTTAATAAACATTTCCTGGCAGTCGTCTCTCTCTCCGTCGCTCTCTCCCTCTCTCTGTTTCCCCCTCTTTCAATTATTCATTAATTTATATCATACGCTTTGCAACGGCATCCTGCCACTTCCTGTGAGATGTGCAACAGAAAATGCCACTTAAATGCACAACAACAATGACAACAACAGCAACAAGGACCTCGCTGAAATGGGGTTGAAATTCATTGCAATTGAAAGGGTGAAATTAAATAATAAAAAAAAGGAACGTTAAATAAATTGCGGTTCACTTTCACTGCGAGCCGTAGATTAAGAGAAAGAATTTCATGCAAAAAGGCAAAATAAATATATACATAAATATGTATATATATGTATGCATTGTATGTACGTATATCTGTAGCCAACATATTTGTAGTCGTCCAACGTTGCGTATGCGCAATGTCTGTGTGGAAAAAAAAATTAAATGAATTATGAGCGCGTTTACGCTGAACATTGAATTGAATTGTTCGCTCGAGTGCGCTCTTCAAAAATCCAATAAATCATTTTGGCCCCTGCCAACGGAGCCACACCTTCGTTGGCGTATTTCAAATTAATAAAGTTTCGAATGCCGCGTCAATAGCCATTGTGTGTATTTAAGCAGTGAATGGGACTGCGCGAAACTTCAAGCTTTTTTTGTATTGCAAACACAAAAGCAAACTCAAAATCATAGGAACCAAACAAAGCCGTTGCATAGCAGAGGAATAACAACAACAACTGCGCGTTTTTCATCCTCTGCGTTAATCATTTGCAGACTTGTCTTTGAAGAGCGACAGAGCAACTAATATGCAAAAGGTAAAGAGAGAGAGAGGGCCAGGGAATGAGAGCGCCCATTGCAAATGTGTGATTGAGCAGAAAGAGCAGACACGATTTTGTGACAATGCAAAACGTAGACATAGCAAAGCCAACAACAACAATCAAAAGTAAGAGCTTTGTCTGCTTTGTCTGCAGTCAGGAAGAGAGAGCATCTTAAGACTGAGGAGAGAGAGGATTTGCTTTCGTTTACCGTCTTCTGTTGGTGTTAAGACTGCTAAATATACATAGGCACATATATATATATATATTAATGTGTGGCAAATGTGTGTGTACGCTATGTATATGTATTGATGTGTATATGTATATTCATATGCATTTTACAATAATGTTTACCTTCATACATATACATAAAATTAAATTCAATTTGTACTCACCATTGATTTACCTCACTGACCAATTGCCTCTAGTGCATTTCGCTCATATCTCACTACGTTTCACTTGATTTCTTAATTAAATATTTATGTATGTCAATCAATTACAGCATATAAACGGAGCACACAAGAATATGAATGCAGACACACACAAGCAAACATATGCAACTAAAAGAGAACGAGAGAGAAATAAAGGCACTTAGAGACTCAGGCACTCTCGCAGACAGCAGGCAGAACTACCGTTTTTTTTTTCTTCCTTTTTTCTTTTTTTTCCGGGAACGCCGAAGTTAAAATTAAAGTAAATTAAAAATTCAAGAGCGCATTGACATCTCTTTATTCGATTTACTCATCGTGGGGTGATACAGCAAAGAGCAATATGCCAAAGCAATGATTAACGCTACCGAATGTTAAGTGAAAATCGAGACAGAAAGTGAACGTTGTAAAGTGCTTTGCCTCCAATGGGCGTGTCGCTGCGATTATAGCCGTTGCCCCCAAGACATAATGCCCGATTTCAATTTTTCGGGCTGCGCGCCCTAAAGAGAAAATAAAACCAAGCATTGAACCGTTTTCCAAGTCAATTTCCGGCGCTGGTAGCAATGACAGCAGGGTATTAACAATGAACATTGAGTAGTCGCCGAAATTATACCCTGTACAAAATAAAGTGTGGGTAAGTTAAAATGGAAAATAAATTTAGATAAGATGTATAATATAAGATAAGAAGAAAAATTTAATATAAATTATATTCATTTATGTAACCCTTTCTCTCAATGTATAGATGAATATATATGACATGTGGACTCTGATGCAAAACTACCCTTTGTGATATGTATATAGGAAAAAAATGGGGAAAAAACTAGAGGGTTCAAGACACTCAACCATAAAAATCGTTGTCGGCTGCGACTGTGAGGCAAATAAAAATCAAATTTAAAAATAAAAACGAAATAATGTTAAGAAAGTCGCCGCGGCGCCGAAAAGCAGGCAACACACAAAAAGACAAACGACCGGAAGTGCGGGTAGATGGTTACTCGACTGAGTGAATGAGGAATAGGGTCGAGTGGTGTTTGCTTAGTCGCCTTGTAGCTGTAGCTGGCGGGGGGTTTTTCGCTCTAAATGTCGCAATTTTACGAGTCAATATAAAGGTGCCCGGGGAGTCATTTACAGGCGCACAGCGGTTTGGCTTCGTACTTTGGCAATAAAAAGCGAACAACGTGAATGAAGAAGCAGAGGAAGACGAGGCAGAGCAGCAGCTGAAAACAGAGTGCTCAAGGAAACGGCAGGTTTTATAGCGAAGGCCACATAAAAATTTGTAGACAAGAAACACGTGTAATGTCATTTGGCCCAAAAAAAAAATCCAGAAAGGGTTGCACCACCAACGGCAACAGCTATCGCACCACCAAATACTCAAATGAAGGCAATTTTTACCACCATAAAATATATTTTCTTGGTCTAAAGCAGTGAGTGGCAAAGCAGCTTCGGCTGATTTACGACTTGCTTAGAATAAGTTGGAAATTATTTTGGGTATTTTCTTAAAATTAATTAATTAAATATAATGAAACGGCCCAATGTCTGAAAATAAGTTGTAGCTTTTAGGCTCTTGAGTTTTGTTAAATTTTGAATGCAAAATGGAATAGCCTGAAAATTAACAAATATAGAAAGGAGAGCAACTTAAATTTAAAATTTGATTTAGTTCTAGAAGAGTTTCGTTAGAGTTGAAAACTTTTGTGAATTAATGAAATTTCACAAATGTTTAATACTCTATTGTAAGGTAAGAGGAGCACATTGGCTTTAGTTTAACATCATCTTACTATCCTATCTTCTTTTTTATTAGTGTAGTATCAATTTTATTTATTTTGGGTACTATTAAAACAGAAGACTTGAAGGTATAGAGCTACGTCCAATAGATCGAGAAAAATCTGTTTTTTCCTTAGTTTTATGGTGAGAGGCTAAACAGAAAATGTGTCACAAATAACTTACTACTAATGCTGTAAGACTCAGAAGAGACAGTTATACCTATATACATAGTTTCTTCAAACCCTTCATAACCTTCAATAATATTTCAAGGCTGGAATCACTAATTTTTTGTCAACTGTTATGGACCTTTTCTACTGATAAGAGAGCTATATAATAATATATGTATAATACACGCTATATATTGTCGTATTTATATTTAAGAAATATCGAAATTTTTATCGATAGACATATAAGACGAGAACGTTTAATATGCAAGTAGTGCAACGTTCTGGATAGAGGAAGTACATGATTTTTTATCCCATAATTTCTTTGAAAATATATGAAATAAATGTATATAAAAATACAGATATAGAGATATATATATACTGTTATTTTAATTAACTATATTATGACACATTTTTTTCGTTAATTATAAAATAAATATTAAGACTATATATAAATACACACTTTTGTCTAGACAGCAGCTTTAGAGTTCCAATTATAAATACTTAAGTAATTAAGTTAATTAAGCTAATTACTTAAGCTCATTTTATGGCCTTTTACCATTTACGTGTCCATTGCTTGGTCCTCGTGCTGGTCACCTGGGCGGTGTTTTTGGTGGTGCGAATGTCGCAATTGTGGCAATTGCCATTCCACTTGATATTGCCATTGCGCACATGAATTTTCGTTGTGGAGGAGGTGCGCACACGTATTTGACCTGAATATGAATATAAATGATAATTAATTATATATTAATTGGTATATTCTATATAAGTATATAACACTCTTACCCGCAGGCGCCGCAGCAATCAGACCCAGCAAAGCCAGCATTAAAACGCACAGAGCGAACCACTTCATGTCGTTGGGTTGAAGCACTGAATAAGATTTGTTAAGAGCGGAGCATCTTATATAGAGACGCACAACAGTTGTCGTCGCATTATCATTGCAAAGAGATTTATTTGCAAAATAATTCCCCCTGAGCAAAAGCAAAGCAAAGCAAAGCAAAAGCAAATGTCAGCAGCTTCGGACGTTGGGAAATGCAGTTCAAACTGGGCTTGGGGCTTGCCCAAGAATCGAATGTAAGTCCCCTACGACCCAATATAATAATATTATTTGCATAAATGATGGTGGGTATTACTCATTTTTGCAATTGTTGTTAGTATGTGACATAGGAGACTGTTAGATACCCTGTAAAGTGCTTAAAAAGAAACGTGAGTACATAAAATGATTAAAGCTAATATATTAAGTTATACATTATGTTATATATTATGTTATACAATACATATTATGTTATAGAGAAAAATATTATAATAATTAATATTCTTATTATATTAAATCTACATATGAAATGATTAAAATTCATATATTTAAAATCTCTTATCTACGCTGTTAGAGAGAACACATATAATTACATAATAATTTATATTATTTTATATGTACGTATAGCTTGATTAAAATTTCTATGTATATATCACATATATTTTATAGAACAAAAAAAAATAATTATAATCAAGTATAATATTTCTATAATTTCTAGAACTATATATAACAAATTTTAGAATTTTAAAATTTTAATAAAAATGGTAATTTTAATATAATAATATAATATGATAATAAATTGAATGCATGAAGGCCTTTGTCGCTCTGGCTTAACAAATTGTTATTTAGAATGAAATCTTAATAAATAAATAATAATCAATTGAAAATAAATCATAGTTAAAAACTCATTGAGACAAGATTTTCAAGCTTTGTTGATATAATGTCCTGTACATTGTATGAGATTTTTTTTTTATTTTTATAAAATATAAATAAATACGAGGGCAGTGTGAAAGACTCGCGAGCTTTATGTAAATGCATGTAAAAATATAAAATAAATAAGCCATATTAAAGAACACTTTGAAAATGTTAATACAAAATTTTGTTAAGCAGAATTCTAAAGAAAAATATGAATATAAAATTTATAATATTGTAGATTTTTATAATATTTTTACTTTTAGTGAAGATAAAAGTTAAATATAATTTAGGAAAAAACAATTTAAAATTATTTTTATATATTTTAAGACAATGTCAGATTATTTTTAGCGTTTTAGCTTTTTAAAGCTTCTTCTTGTTGGCTTCTTTTTGGTTTCTTTCACTAACATAAGCTCTTTAAATTGCAGCTAGTCAAACATATATATATCCCATGTATATCCCTTCTGCATACCCATCAAAAGCACAACTTGGCATACCCTATACAGCACAGCTTTATTTCAGTTCATGCAAATACAGTGAAATTTAGCCGCGAATGTCGCAGCCATTGCAGTCGGAGTTGTGGACGTAGGAGCCGCCTGGCACACGTCCGCTATAGCCCTCGGGCACCACATAGGGTCTGTCACCGGCTGCACTGCCACTGCCACGCCCACTCTGGCCATTGATATAGACAGTGCCTTGTCCGGGGCGACCCTTGTACACCCGATCGCCCACCACTAAAGTCTCAGCATCAGGCGGCGAGCAATCCTGACAGACGCCATTGATGACAACATCAGCTGGAGTGAGGAGTAGAGGATAAGCTGCTGCTGCTGCTGTTGCTACTGTTGCCACTGTTGATGCTTACCTGTTGCCATGGCCAGCAAAGCAGCAAAGAGTAGAGCACAAGCAAATAAGCGCATTGCAAATGTGAATTTCATCTGTTCAGCAATGAGACGAACGGAACGGCTTTATATACAGCTTGGAGGGCTTTGATTTGCTTATCATAGACAGTGCTGGAATTACCCAGAGGCAAAGCTGCAACCGGTTGGATTAGACAAGGTCAACAACTAGCATTGCTTTAGCTGGAACTGGAGAGTATTTTTATTGGATTTATAATCGAAACCCCCCCCCATTACATGCTCCATTAGCCGTTTATGTTGCAGCCGACGCAATCGTCGTTATGCACATAGGTGCCGGGACGTCCACGTGTATTGATTGTGGTCACACGCCCACCTGACCAGCCACCTCCGCTGCCTAGACCCGGATCAGTGATAATTTGCTGACGATAGATCTGCCTCCTGTGGCGACCGCCTCGCCAGATACTCTGCGCTCCATAGCCGCCCTGGCCCTGGCCCTGGCTCAGCATCCAGCCATCAAGATCGTCTTCATCCGAGTTCTTATTGCTCTTAGGCCGGGACTTGGACTTGGGCGTGGTCGGAGGAGCTCGCGATGAACTGGGTCGGTGTGTTGTCGCGCCATCCCTATGGCAATCCACACAGGCCCCATTGATGGTCACCTTGCCAGCTGGAAGAACAATTCCCATTCGTAATCCCTTATCGTATACCTGTGGCACTTGACTCACCTCTGGCACAGGTGGCGAGCAGCGCAACAATCAAGAGAGCGAGCAGCGTCAGGCACCTCATTTTGTTCCGTTTAACTCTGCTCGCTGCAATGGATCTTTTATACTAACTTCGAGGGGGCGAAATTGGCTAGAATCGTGCGCGATTCGCAATCGAGATAGAGATTCAGCTGGAGCTATCGATAGATTGCCCTCTACTCAGCGTAGACCCAATGCTATGCATACTAGAAATACTAAATACAAAGTGTATATGTTACATAAACTGTATATGCTAGAAATGTGAATATAAATATGTACATATATATTTAAATATTATTTATGTATATCATGTGGAATTGCCCGGATTATCAATACCTTGACAGCTATCGACAGCTGTTGAACAAAGCTGAACTCGCGACACGTTTCATGTTCTGATTAGAAGAAAGTGTATTATGTATATATAGTATATATACTATATAAAGTATATATCGTTAACTGCGTATATAGATTAACATATATGATTATTTAATAGCCATTTTAAACGTAAAATTGAAGAACGGTAGATAGAAGTCGATAGAAGATAGAAGAATTGAAAAGGAAAGGAAAATAGAGGGAGAGAGAATCTACTGAGAGAGGGTGAGAGAAAAAGAGAGATTGACAGAGAGAGAATCTGCTGACAAAGGGTTAGATGAAAAGAAAGAGTGGCAGAGAGAGACAGAGAGTGAGAAAGAGATAGCTAGAGAGAGAGAGAGAGAGAGAGAGAGAGAGAGAGAGAGAGTGAGAGAGAGATAGTGAGAGAAAACGAGACAGAGACATATACAGACAGAGAGAGAGAGAGATGTAGGGGTAATGAAAAGGAAATGGAAGGAAAAGGATCAGAGCAGGATAGAAAGAACAAGGGTGCGAGAGAGAGAGAAAGCAAACTGCTCACTCTTCTATCCTATTACCTTATTATAATATATATCTAATAGTTTAACTGAGTTCCAAATAACAAAGAAGGTGCTACTCAGAACAGCATATCAACTGGCTATACAGACCTAATGCTCCATATTTGAAAAGTCCCAGCGACTATGATAAGCAATGCACTTGCGGCGTCTACTCGGTTTATAACCGGGAATTTCCACATTCCCGTACGATCGTTCGCCTCTAGCTGAGCTCTGTGAATTTCCCGATCGCATTGCAGCTTAGCCCAGCTAGAATATAAGATCGTAGCTGAGCTGTCAGCAGCATCAGTTCAACTCAAGCCTTTGTCGAACCAACAATCAACAACAGCGAATCAACATGAAATTCTTCTCAGTTGTTACCGTCTTTGTGCTCGGTCTCTTGGCTCTGGCCAATGGTGAGTAGCAAATGCTCAAGCAGAATGGGATATATGTATTAGCTAAATATATTTCTCTCTCTCTCCCTCGTCCTCTCTCACTTTAGCTGTTCCATTGTCGCCCGATCCAGGCAATGTGGTCATCAATGGCGATTGCAAATACTGCAATGTCCATGGCGGCAAATAGACGTACCGAAGGGCCTTCCTCTGCGGCTCAGCCTCTCCTAGCTTACCTCAATCTGCTTGGCACAATATATTTATGTACTCACTGCGTTTCAAAATCAACTTAGCAATATAAATAAAATATATAATAATTACAATGAAAAACTAAAAACCAACATAGAGTTTTCATTATTCAGAAATTCTAAATATTATATGAGAAAACATTTTTCTAGCTGGGGAAACTTGAGATCATTAATGAATCAATCAAAAATATATATATGAACGAAATTTAATACTAAAATATTAGAATTAAAATATATATATCTACTAAACTTGGAACACACTTGAATATACAAACATTTGTAATATAAATATATAATATTTTTCATTTGATTTGTAAACAATTCTTAGGTATTTCAGACTGCATTCATTTACAAACTTGAACGATTAAATTTGCTTATATGTATTTATCACATTGAAACGAACAACCAATAAAAATTAACTTATATACATCTGTATTTATTTATTTTTTATTATTGTTAGTATATTCTTAATATTTACAATACCCAACTAATATATACCCTGTCTTGAGCGTATGGAAAATATTTTATTATGATATACAAAAATGTAAATCATATAGGTCTACATAAGACTATATATTATGTAATTTTATATTTTATATATTAATTATATTATCTATGTATAATTTTCCTATATATATAATTTTATATTTTATATACTAATTACATATATTATCTATGTATAATTATTCTATATATACTATATGAAATATTTATGCACCTTAATATATCTTATGTCCATATCATAAAAGTATAATTAGTCAAAATTCCACATAGTGATTGGTATATGCCAAAGATTAACTACTTACAGGGTAATGTGAAATTGCGTAAACAGTTATCTGAAGGCTGTAAATACTCTATAAGCATTCTACAAAGATTCATTATCAACACTATTAGAAATTATTAGAAATTATAATCTGTGTCATCTGTGCTCATTGTTTTTTACATACCCTATAATTATATCAGTCAAAGGCCTACACGCTTAACAATAATTATATCAATTAATTAATATACAGACGCAGCACGTCATATCTTCAGCTGCTTTTAACAATTGTACTATTCTCTATAAATATTAAAATCAGTTTTATAGAACTGCATGTGTACTGTATTTTTCTTGGAATTTATGCATGTTTCGACTTGTTTTCCAATCAAAACAACAACAGCAGCGTTTGGATATAAAACACGTTTTAGCGCTTTGTCGGAAATGTATTACGAAATTCAGTTAATTAACATATAGAACTGTGGGGCGCCACGCTTCGAACGTCGCAATTGATATTGAATATTGGATTTCGATTGTAAACAGAGACAAGTGCGGCAATATAATAAGTCACTGGGTGCCCGATGCATGAGAGAGATACCCTGTAATGAGAATTGAACTCAAGTTCAGCGTTATATATATGGTAAAGTGAGATAGAGAGATAGAGAGGGGGAGAGACGAGAGAAAGCGATGGAGTAAAATGGAGTGATAAAAAGAGAGAGAGGGAGATAGTTAGAGAAAGAGACAAAAGCAGAGAGAGAAAAAGATAGTGAGAGTTTAAGAGAAACAGAGAGAGAGAGAGAGAGAAGAGAGGGAGAGAGAGTTAGTAAGACTTTAAGAGAGAGAGAGAGAGAGACAGAGTGAGAGAGAATTAGTGAGAGAGACAGAGTTAAAGAAGAACCTGAGATTAATAGAGATGAAACTAAAGAAACAGAAAAAAAAGAGCGGGACAGAGAGATGGTCAAAAAAAATTAATTGATATAATTTCAGGTATTCATTCATCTATCCATCTATCTCTGGTTAGAGTAAAATCCGAGCCTATCTCGCAACGCAATTGGGAATTTTTCAAGCCTGAGCCCGACACTGGGCAATTCCAATTCAGCCGAGCTCAAAGCTCCAGCTGCAGTCCCAGTATCAGTTGATAACGCGGTGCAAAAACACATTGAGCGCGGCTGCTATAAAAGGCTGGCTGACCAAGTCGTTTGGCATCAGTGCAATCGCAAGTGCTCCAGAGTCTTCACAGCAGTCGTGCAAACCCAAAAACAAAGCCAAGTCAATATGAAATTCCTGTCGCTCGCTTTTCTGCTCGGCCTGCTCGCTCTGGCCAGTGGTAAGTCGAACTATTCAAGAGATTTCGCAATTGAGCATTCAACTAAATTTTAATCCTCCACACAGCTAACCCACTCAGTCCTGGCAATGTCATCATCAACGGCGACTGCAAAGTGTGCAATGTGCGTGCCTAAAGGCTCGACCTCAAGTTCTTGCCGCAGGAGCAGCAGGAGCAATGAACAACTGCAGCCGCAGCAGCCGCAGACTTAGCCACAAGAGCAATAGACAAATAATTTAGTTTCAAATATGTTCAATATTATGCATTTAAGTACAACCACAGTAGGAAGAGCTCCACCAAATGTTAAATTATAATTTTTAATGCCTTTTTTTAGCAAATAAATAAAATATACAACAAAAATATGTACAGATTTTAAGTAAAACTGTTTTCAACTATTTTTTACATATTTTTCTTGTAGCCTTCAAATGTTAAAAAAAAAGGAAAATAATAAACGCTCAATAAACTATTCAATTATAATCAAACGTAATATATTGTTTCAGTGCTTTATCATATGATGCTTAACCATATGCCATGTACCTTCTGGTCAGCATAAATTCTCTACTATTCATGGATATCATTTAATCTTTATCAATTAACAATTAACATATATATGTATATGTATATATATTGACCTATGATAGGCATAGAAGCTATATACTATATATTTAAGCTTCCTCACTTTCCTTGAAGAAGAAGAACATAAAAGAAAAAGAGCGAGAGGAAGAGTGACAGAGAGAGAGAGAGAGAGAGCTCTTTCTATATGTCATCCTCCAGATTTTCTTCTGTTTATCTCTCTTTCTTAGTGCTTGATTATTTCTGTCTATTACTCTATGGCTATCTCTATCTCGCTCACACCTGCATTTGAACATTTTAACTTTTTATTGCCGTCTCTATTTCGGAATATCTCTATCTCTATGTCTAGCCATTTCTCCTTTTCTCCCAGTGCCTCTCTTTTTCTCTACCAGATTGTAAGTATAATCATAAAGAGTATCTCTCAGCCGAATCATTATTTTATATAATCTCCACTTGCTCACATAATATATATATTTGAAAATCATCTAAAAATATGGATTCTATTTATTTTCATTTTATTCTCATCTAATTGACAGAGTTCACAGAGATCAAATTATTTGTGCTGCTCTAGGCTGGGAAATACCTAGGAAATACTATCTCTGCAGTGATGAGAGCATGCCAAGCTGACTTTAGTCTCAATCAAACGAATCTGTAAATTGTTCCCTATATAAAAGTGCATGATATAGACGACTACGATTCAGATCGTGTGGAATCGTTGCTGTGACTATGAAATCAATTGCATTGCAGCTGCTGCTTTTGGGCTGCCTTCTGGCTGCTGTATGCGGTAATTGAGATGTTCACTGAAAGTTAATACCCTATATTATATTTTGTATATCATATATACTTTTACCAACAGCCACGCCTGGCAAGGTGATTATCAATGGAAAATGCATCGATTGCAATCGACCAGAGGGTGACGATTCCATTGTTGTTCCAATCTCTGCCTCGAGCCGTCAGGCCTTGACATCAGGCGCTGTGGGCTTTGGACTTTTGTATTATATTATAAGCAAATTTGTTCATTAATAGTCGCTTTTAAATGAAAATTTTTTAAATAAACAAATGTTTAATATATGCTAAAAAATATTAAGAATGTATCTTACTTATGAATATATCTATATTTTATTTACAGGGTATTTTCTAAGTGCCTATATTTTTTTCTCAGACGACATTGATGACGTTATTTTCCCAGCGGCTTCTAGGTGATTGTAATATAAGCTTTGTTTAACAAATCTATTAGATTTTCCTCTCTAATTAATTGTCAGCTTTTATATTTTATTTTCCTGTTGTATCGCTCACTTTCTGACTCTCCCTTTCGCATTCTTTTTTTTTCTCTGTCACTTTTTTTCTCATTTACCATCTCTCTATGCCTCAGTCTCGCTCTATCTCTATTCACCTGTTCCTCTGTCTCCCTCTCTCTCTCCCTCTCTCTCTCTCTCTCTCTCTCTCTCTCTCTCTCTTATTCCCTATCTCTTTTCCGCTTTTCTCTCATTGTCTGTGTCTTTTCCTCACTGTCCCTCTCTATGTTTCTCTCATTCCTTCTCTTCCTCTCTCTCTCTTTCTCTCTCTCTCTCTCTCTCTCTCTGTATCCCTCTCACTCTTTCTTTTCTTACTTTCTCCCTCTATCTCTGACTCTCTGCTACTCTTTCTCTCGCTATCTGTTACAATCTATCTCTTTTAACTCTTTATTTTTCTTCTCTTCCCTTCTTGTAATATTCTTCAATACTCTGTACATTAAAATGACATTTTATATATGAGTATTGGCATTAATCTAAAATTCTAAAATATTTATATACATAAATATTTTCAGTAAATTTTTGTCTAATTATCCAAATAAAAATTCCAAATAAATATGAAAATAATTATTTCTTCACGCCATTCACGTCATTTGAACTCGACTTAAGCACCCCATAAAAACATTTTGCATATACATATTTAATTGTGCGGATTTTCCCAAGCAATCTCTTAGTTGACCTGTTATCAACTATATAGTATATATATAGACATATACACATATATTTCTACAAGCAGTCCACTGTTGTCTATTTAGCTATATAAGTCGGTAAGGTGATTGCAGTTGTTTCAGTTCCGTTTGCGAGGTTGACTCTGAATAAGATGAAAATTCTATCGATTGCGTTTCTGCTGGGTCTCTTGGCACTGGCCAGTGGTACGAAGAGAGTGAATGAGTACTATTAACTGTTCTTTAATCTCTCCCTCTCTCTCTCTGTCTGTCTCTTTCTGTCTCTTTTTAGCAACCCCTCTGAGACCTGGAGATGTGATAATCAATGGACATTGCATCAACTGCAATGTGCACGGAGGTTGAAGCAGCTACAATTTTAAATGTTTACCTGAATTGTCACATAAAGCGAAAAAAATGCTGAAATAGAAAATGTTTTCATACTACTATTTGTTTTAAAAATACAAAAACATTTATTTAAAATTATAACTTTTATTTAATATTATTAATCGCCTCGAATGTTGCAAACTTTGCAATCGCCATTGATGATCACATTGCCTGGATGCAGCGGATTAGCTGTGAATAAATGCATATTGAAATTAACTGTAATTGGGGTATGCATTTAGGGCATGCCCGACTAGCACTTACCATTTGCCAGAGCCAGCAGAGACAGCACCACAGCCAACGACAGAGACAGCACTAAAGCCAACGACAATCCCTTCATGTTTCCTCTTGTTGCGATTTTTCAAACGAAACTGTTCGCGGGAGCTGCTCGACGAGTCGCTTTTATAGCGATACCGATCTGGGGTTTGACTCAACTACTATAATTATATAGTTTTTTTTTATTGATAATCGTTTATTGAAATTGCGCACTTGCTTAATCTATGTCTATGCTGAGATAGACTCATAGCTAGGTTAACTATTTTGTCGACGACAGTCTAAGATCTGATAAGATCAAGGTAGGGATCGTACGGCTATCACTTTTCCTATTGATTATATAGAGTAAATTGAGATTTGTTAATATAAATATGACAGACATTTGTTTCATATAATGTATAGTTGACTTTGATACTCTACAAGGTGGAAATTCAGGGGGGGAGAGAAAAAAGACAAGACGATCAATAGTTGGATAATTCATACTAGCTTTATCTAATATTTTTTCTCTCTCTCACACATTGTATCATCTTTTCGCTGCTATGTTAGGGTATACAAAAGTCGAACACCTATTCTGAACTGTCTTTAGTCTATTGAAAATACAATTCATTCATGTAAAAGGTATTTACCTGCTATCACCTCAGTTAATACATAGACAGCTGACAGATACATGTGCATATGTAAATATATAAATATTAAATGCGTATATTGAAATAAGCGATTACTTATAGCAACTATGTAGACGTAATCAAATCAGCTTAATTATTTTTACATAGCATTAAATATCAAGTTGGGTATGTAGGACTATAAAATATTGTGTAAAATTTTAAAAGCTAAATATGGAATTTTGTTAGAACTCTATAAAAAACGTTAAAAAGACTGCATACCGAATTTGGTGTTTAAAGAGTTAATAATAGCTGAGTTAATTGGGATATATAATGAGTTCAATAAGATATGGAGGGATAGATATGCATTAGATGCATCCACTAGGATGGAAATGCAGTAGACAACATGTTAAGTAAAATATATTAAATTGGTATCGTAAATAGTATAGAGTATATAATAGAATGTACTTACTTATATAGCAATTGCCCTCTAATTTATAGAATATTATAATTTTTAAGTACATATTTCATACGACAAGGAAATCTTAAAGCCCAAGTTAAAAAGCCCTTAAAGAGAAACATTTAGAAAAGTTTGAACATGGCCAACGAGTTGGGCGGGTGAAAAAGTATATGAACGTGTTTGTGGTTGAATTCAGTTACGTTGGCTAAGAGTTGCGTGGCATATGTATCAGTGTGTGTGTGTGTGTGTGTGTGTGTGTGTGTGTGTGTATGCGTATGCGTGTGTGTGGTTAGCAATTAAGCCAATGAAGCATTAAAAACACCAGCCAAGGGCGTAAGCCATGCAAAGTGAACTGAAATCAGAGACTGGAATTGGGAGGTACACAAAAAGGATATGGGAATGAAGCATGCTATCTCATTCGCTTTTCTCTCTCTCTCTCTCTCTCTCTCTCCCTGTGTATATGTCACAGCTTGGCTTTGGGTGGATTAGCGTGGATGTTGCTGCTGCTGCTGCTGCTGCTGTTGCTGCTGCTGCTGCTGCTGCTGCTGCTGCTGCTGCTGCTGCTGCTGCTGCTGCCACATTTGTCAATGTAAAAAGCATTACGCTTAAATGAACCCATGCACATGCATAAATACGCCAAAGCCAACGCGGCGAACAGACGACACGTGTGCGTTAACAATTTAATTACGCCAAATAAACCACCCACCCACATACACACATACACACGCACACAGATAACCACCCAGCCAACAGATGTTGCCCAAAAAGTTAATCACCCAATCGACGGGCAGGTCAGCTATATTAAAGACTTACAACCGGGAGAAATTTCACCAGCTCGCAAAACCATTAGCCAACGCTTTGCTTTCACGTGTGTGAGGGGTGTTTGGGGGGTGGGGTGGGGTTGGCTGTGGGCTCTGTAATAAGCGGGTGTGCTGGCTGCTATGCCTAAGAAAGCTAGGGCCTATTTACTCAAGCTGGTGTGAAAATATGCCATGAGTGTGCATATACGAATAGAGGTTGAGCATATGTGTGTGTGTGTATAGGTGTGTGTGTAAGTGTGTACAAATATGTCAGTGGCAAAAGCTGTTATGCAGAGAGTTAGATACAGGCAGAGTCGGGAATGTGTGTGTATGTATGTATGTATGTCTGCCTCTAGGCAGTGCGTGCTAAGACGAAGCTGCAATGCGCTTTAAGCTGTGAGGGAATTGGTTTCATTAGACGAAACTGGGAATACGGAAACTGAAACAAGCAAAATTAAATATAGAATGGGGGGAAGTAGAGCTGAAACTTAAAATATAGAATATAAGTTTGATATGCACAACATGGAAACCATAAATGAAATTTGAAATTTTGAAATATGTACTTATAATATGTAATCTGAGCTACGAAAAGTGTAATATGGAAATTAGAATACAGAATCCTGCTTATGAAATTCAAATTGAGGAAGGAAAAGAAATAAGTTACAAGGAATAAGGAGTAAGGAGTAAGGGGTAAGGAGTAAGGAGTAAGGAGTAAGGAGTAAGGAGTAAGGAGTAAGGAACAAGCAATAAGGAATAAGGCGTAAGGCGTAAGGAATAAGAAATACGGAATAAGCAGAATAAAGAATACGAAATAATTGGAGTATAGAAAAGGAAAGGTAATGAAGTAAAAAATGCAAAGTACAAAGTTATGGAGAACTTAATAAATTAAATGTAAATCATAAAATATTAAATATACTTTATAGATTGTGGCTTATAGAAAACGGCGTCTATTCTGAAATCTGAAGTATGGAGTCGTTCACATTCTGATGGAGAATTTATTGTGTAAGATAAGAAATACTAAATAGGGTAAGCTATCAATCCTAAATATTAAATATGGTAAGGAATATATACCATATTTTATATTTAATGATCAACATTTAAGTTACCATTTACTACATTTATTATTCAAGGTTCCTAGACAGAAAAATTAATAAAATTTTAGTAGAGCTTCTTTTATAAATATTTCTTCTCTTATATACATATATTTATTATTATTTATTAGATTATATTAATAATTTTGAGCGGTCTACACAAGAAGTCAAGTAGGTCCTTACCTACGTTTAACATCTACACTTAACATACTGTTATTAACTGACTGCTGTTGTTAGTTTACCATAACAGACTTTGCTAATTCCTTAAAACTTTTCATATACAGTTTATCCATCACAAAGTCCGCAATGCCCCATTTTATTACAGAGACGCAGCTCAGCCTGTGCAGACACATATATATACATATATTTCTATTTCTATATATCTACTTTATATATGCACACATATATGTGTATGTATGTGTGTGTGTGTATTCTATATGCATAACAGTCGACTGCGGGAGTAGAACAAAAGATAGTCAGAGGCATTTCTTGGCAGCTGGGGCACTATTAGTTTATTAT